CCCAGGCCGGTCCCTGTGACTCCCCGGGGGACCCAGCTGGGAAGGGGCTTTGCTGCGGTGCTTGCAGCACCAGGGCCCAGCCCTGCGCTGGCTGTCACAGCCTGAGGGAGGGCAGAGCTGCTGATTAAAATGACAGGAGCTGCTAGAGGAAGGAGGGAAGGAAAATCTCCTGCAAGACACATACCCTTCAGGAAACAACTTTAGCACAAAGATGGAGAACATGGAGGTAATTCCATGTCTCCACCGACCTCCAAGTGCAGTGCAGGGATCTAAACCAAGCCACAAGGAGCAGAAAGTGCTGGAAGGGCAGGAGAAGCAGCAGCACAAGGAGGGCACCAGGACTCACTGTCACTAAACGCTCCAGCAGACGGTGTGGAGTCAGGAGCGTCCCCGTCACCTCCAATGGGGCTGGAAAGGGCTCCGTGCTGGGAACGCAGCCGGGAGCAGGGCTGGGTTTGTCACCAGGTACAAGCAGGGGGTGCGAGGTGGGACCTGGAGGCGGGAGCGCCGGGTCAGGCTTCCCAAACCCCAGGCTGCCTCAAGCGAGTTGCTCGGCCCTCGTGCTCCGGCTCCCGGTCCCGCGCGACCGGCCCGGCGCTCACACTGCCGCTTTGTTCAGCCCAGAGGGACTCCAGCCCCTCGTGTCCCTCGCGCGGGGCTGTGAACTCCCATTTATAGCTCCCTGTCACCACTCACTGTTTACTCGGCCACGTCCCAGGGGCTCCGGGGAGCTGGGAGAGGGGTGAGGAATTTCAATAGTTCTACCCAAAGCAGCAAAGAGACGTGCTAGAAAGAAGGGGAGGAACCGCAGCCACACGCGGGTGCCCGAGAGGCAGGAAGGGAAGGAGCAGGTGGCAGCTCTGGACTAAGGAGCTATTTTGGGGGGTCTGAAACTCCCAAATCTTTAACCGGGCAGCACAACAAAGCCTAGGTGTGATAAGGAGAAGAGGCAATGGCTGCTCCTAAAGCCCACCACATCTGACAGGAATAAGAGGTCACTTCTCCCAACACTGAACAAGCCGAGGTCTGTGCACACCTCGGACCCGTCTGAGAGAGAGCAGAGGGCTCCAAGCAGCACAGAGAGGTTTCTGAGCAGACTCCAATTCCATAATTCAGCTCAAACCTCTTTTAGGGAAAAGATAGGAATACCAAGGCAAAACTCCATCAAAATGCCAACACAGCCAGAGGAAGGAGTGGAGAATAAAGAGCACATGTTAAATATGTTGTCCCAGTAATAAAACATTTACTAGAGCAAGCAGAAAGTAAATGCACAGCTGATAAAGAAAACATCACAATGTCACAAAAACCTGACAGTTTCTGATACTTCTCTTGGTAGAAACAAGACAGAGGTGGGTGCTGGCGTGTTTCAACAAAAGAGATTTTTCCTTACCTTTATGGCGCAAAAAAAAAGAAAAAAAAAAGTTAAAAAACAGATAATACACACAACGGGTTAAAAATGGTCAAGCAAGATTTTACAGTTTTAACTACATGTGTCCAATATGGGGTGATATTTGAGCTGTTCCACTTCAATCACTTTTCAGGTTCTCCCTACAGGCTTCTCAGCAGCAGGTCCCTTCACTCAGCTTCACGGGGGGCACCAGCCTTCCATTGCTGGGGCATATCAATTTATTTTCCCTTTTTTGATTTTCATTTGAGGAAAGCACTTGGCCCTCTCATAACAGAGGGTGAATAGGCACAGCAGAATTGTTTGCTATGCAGGCTCCACCAAGACGAAGGTTATCTGGGGAGAAGAGGGTCTCTAGGAGGAAAAGCCACGTGGGCAATGGGACCGACTCAGTGCCAAGCCGGGGGCTCCGTCCTGCTCTATGCACAGCACCAGGGTGAGCTGGGATGGGGATTGTTGGAGCAGCTTCAGGTAAAAAATAAAAGGAAAGAAAAATCAACTTGCTCTATCCCACCTGCAGCATCGCAAATTGATCTATTCTTAATCGAGCGGGGAGAGATGTAGGGAGTAACCTGGAGACCAAATTATTTGGGAATGAGATAATACATGGAAAGAATAGATTGGAGAAGAATCCATTGTACTGAACAAATTGCTGGAAGGTTAATGTTTAACAGGGTCCTGAGCACCTCTAAATGGATAGGTTTTAAAATGTGTACGCTGATTAAGAAAAGACAACTTTAAACCTCTATGGACAACAGTTTCTCAATGTCCCATAGATGTGAAACCAACAGCCTCCTTCGTGCCAACAAGTTCTGTTTAAACCCAGCACAGAGTCACTTTAGCAGTGAATGTTGGAAAGCAGAATCCGGGGAGCTTATCAAAGTGATTCCTCTTTGACTAAGCGTTGTGTGTACACGTCATGAGAGCGGAGCTGCCCGCAGATGTACCAGCCCTTGCACGGGGAGCTTGCACGGTTTCCTTCTCCTCCCGCAGCTGCTCAACAACCAGTCACCCCAAAGACAAGAAATCCTCTGGAAAACGACATCACTACCTGCAGGGATTCCAGGCTGTGAAGCACCAGCTTTTAACTGTCCCATCGGCTCTTCTTGCGTTTTGGGGGCTCAGGGACAGCAAAACCATCTGTCTTGTTGTCTCGGCTGTTGCCTTCCTTCCTGTTCTCACCGTTCCTGTTCTCGTTGTTCCTCCCTTCGTTGCTATTCCTTCTGTCACCGTTATTGCGATTACCACCGCTTGCATCCGGAGGGTGCCGGTTTTCACCGTGGCGATGGCTGTCCCCGTGCCGGCTGTCTCCGTGGCGGTACCCATCGGCATGGCGACCGCCCCCCTCTCCGTGGCGCTGAACATCGTTGTAGCGACCAGCACCCTCCGCGCGGCGCTGAACATCGTTGTGGCG